TTTTGACAAAATAAGAAAGTTATGCTACGGTTATAGTTAACTGTTATGCATATTTTAGCAGATTTCTTTGCGTTATAGCAAAGACACTTAACAAAATGAAATTCCAATCAACTGTTCAAAATTTATAATAGTGATCCGCTTTTTGTCCTTGATTTTTTTTCTAAATATGTTATATATACTCACTATATAAGATATAAAATGTGTAAAAACTGCATTTATGTATGTAGGGGCTAAATACACTTATTTTACTCGCCTTGCTTTCCGACTACCACAGTCATTCTTTCAACAACGTTATAAATCTACTATAAATCAAAATAATGCAAGCGACCCCTTGCATCCAGGCGAAAGATCAGGATTTGATAATCACGCAGAATACAGACCAATTTAAAAATAATATTTGTTTACTACCTGCCTTTACTATCCTAATTCTCAGTACTCTTGCCCATAACGCGTAAAATTTATTTAAAAGAAGGCCTTACTATCGCGATATTATAATTTATTCAGACTTGGTTAATCATAAAATATTGTTTTTAAATGCAAAGAAACCTTGAAATAATTAATTTTTTTTTAACTTAATTTATTTACTTATTCACTACCACTGGGTGCACTTTTCCGTAAACAACAAGTACAAGTAAGAAGCTATAAAATGGCATTAAAAGTAAACAATTCTGAGCTGTCAATTTTGAATTATTTATTAATAAATCTTAATTTTCGATTTTTAGACGCTATTAGCATTCCGGAAAAGTTTTATTTTTAGTTCATGATGTATTCAAACTCGTTTATCAACAACCTTTTGATGTTTCTTATGCGTAAATATTTAACTTCAGATCAGATTAACTGGTAATCCGATGGTACAATATCCGGCTAGTACAGTGGAGGAGACAATACCTCGTTCCCTAATACAGTGATACCTCCAAGAAAGACCACCTCTATGTAGCGACCACCTCTATGTAGCGACCACCTCTATGTTGCGATCACTTTTGAGAGGGACGGAATTTTTTCCATAGACTTTGCATTGAAGAAAACTTTTAGGAGAGACCATTAAAACTTCTTCCAACTACCGGGCAAACATCTGCACCAAATGCGGAGCAGGTCAAATAAGGAAGCACGAAGACATATCAAAACAAAAAAATTAACAAAACAAATAAGTAGATTAAAATATACTCCAAATATTTATGTGATCCTCTTATTTAGAGATTTCTTTTTGACGATACAACCTCATGTTGCAGTTAGAGTGCACTAAAGATGATGCTGTCAATGATTTACTTTCAGAGCTGAAAGTTAAATTAGAAAAAAAAAAGGTTTTTTAGAAAAAGCAAGCATCTCAAGCAAAAAAACCTCTTCTCATCTTTTAAAGCTAACTAATTTTTATGATTTAGAATTAAATGCAAACTTAAGCAAAAAACATAATTGTTTATTTATTTAAAATAGGTTTATCATTCATAATTGGTAGACTTGTTTTTGCACATAATTATATCAGTAGGGATCATTTGTATAAACGTTAAATTTAATTCATAGATCTCTGTCTTTTCATAACACCAACAGAAGTGGCATTTCCGCACCAAGAAAATGACACTGACTAAAAATAATATCGTTTGCGAAAAGTCACGTGCCTTCGATAACAATTTTGAAGTCAATGGAGGTAACTTCTACTAAGAATGACCAACCTCCATCAACTACCACTTTTTTGTGGAACCGATAGTGGTCTCTCTAGAGGTTTCACTGAACATTTCTTTTCGTGGGTTTTGATCTTCTCGATCAATACGAGTCGAAATGATCGAAGTTTTCGGATTTGAATTTAAAAAACCTCTTGAAGCATTTAATTAGCTATTTCACAATAAATTGCAAAAAATAAATAAATAAATAAGATTTAATGATTCATAAGTACACGAGTCACTGTACAATTAAAAATGCCTATGGAAAGGTTTTAAAGCACAACAAGAGTTGATAAGTGAATTTTAAAAAGCTCAAAACTACACTAGTTTCCGGTCCCCCGGAAATCTGAATTTCTCCTTAGTTAAATTTAAATTCGAATTTTAAATTTTTTTAACATATGATGGTGATCTGAAATCAATGAAAAAAATGTTATAGAGTTTGATTATACAGCCATTTAGATTTTTTTTTAAAAATTCCAATTAAAATAATAACAGCAATAATTCAAGTTTATTTGTTCTGTTTTTTTTAATAACCAGCACCTAAAGCGTTCTTTAGATCTATTTTACGGAAGGGTCTAAAAAGTTTTCTGAATATTTATAAGATTTTAATCTTTAAATATTCATACATTCATAATATAACTTAAATATTCATTTTATGAATATTATAAGATTAAAAACTGAAAGAATTAACTGAAAAAGTTTGAAAATAATATCTGCGTGATCTATGCCCTTGACAAACTGTGCCGTGTTTAGAAAAATAAGTCGAACGCTAAATATTTATTCTAGGATCAATATTTGACAGTCCTCTTAGTCCCGTAAATTTTTATCCTATTACGAGTAAAATTTTAGAAACAATCTACAAAGGATAGTTATTTACTTGTTTAAAGAATTCATAGAGCTTTTTTCAACCAAACATGCTAAAATATGTCCTGAATTTTTTTTTTTAATTGATAATTTTGGAAAGTATTAGTATGAGGAAAATATACCCAATAAAAAAAAATGTCGAAAATTGTATGAAACAGGTTTTCGAAAATTTGAAATTTTCCAGTCTCTTGTAAATTTTTATTCTATCAAGAAAGTTTGGACAAACATTTTAGAACCAACTACTAGCAAACAGATATCAAACTGTATAAGAGATACTAATGAAATAAGATAGTTTTCTTCAATGCAACGACGAGAATGTACGTTAAATAACTCCTATATAATAAAAAAAAACGGAATTTAGGGGGGGGGAATAAAGTTTTGTTGATAAAATTACAATAACCGATTTGCACCATCGAAGCAGGGCAAGTTTTTACTAATTGCTGGCAAAAAGCAAAAAAAAAAACAATAATTAGAGTAGGAAGAATTTGCTAGAAATCAAGCTCTTCACCAACGCTTGAAAGCACAACTACTTTACGATTGTAAGTTTAATTTAAAGTTATTTCGAACACTACAAATCTAAATTATTCAAAAGTTTTTTTGAAACTCCACTTTGTCTTAGCTCTCTCATAATGAGGCTTCTAAAATGTTGACAAAATTGCCAAAAATTCCGAAAGTTTCAGCTTTTAAATGTTTACCACTCTATAATAGGCATCTATATACAGAAATGCCAACTTGCTTCGCACAGCAAATAAATTTTTTCGAGTGGTAGGAGCTCATTTTATGATTCTTGGTTCAGTAAATTCGAATTATAGGGTTTTTACTCGCCACTGATTCGAAATAATTCAAAGATTGATATGATACACCACTTCTACCCCAGCTTGATCTATTGTTTCCCCATCATTCCTACATACCTGCCAACTTTTACGCATTTGGCGTAAAATTTTATTTCTATATTTAAAGTTGTAGTAAAATGTATGCTTTCTAAATATTTCTTGCATTTATAAACTTAATTTATAATCTTTTTGATCCACCACTAATTTCAAAAAAAATTAAGCATATATATTAATATGTAATACTGCTGTTGAAGTCTGCATAAGCTTGTTCAAAATACAGTATATTTTCTGTCTATAATTGCAAATAATATTCCATTTGACTACCACTCGCGAAAATCATTCTTGAAAGAATTAACATACCTGCCAACTCTTCCGGATTTTCCGGAAGATTTTATTTTCACATTTAAAGTGGTAGCAATACTCAGGTTATTCCAATTAACTTGTTGAATTATAATGATAATTATAAATGAGTTTGACCACCACTACATATAAATAATTACAATAAGTATATGAAAGCATAATAATCCTTGCGCAAGCGAATTTCAACGGGATCAAAATATAAATATATTTTAGAGTCAGATTATTTTTCGTTTATTGTTTCACAACCACTCTGAAAATCCATTCTCGGAAAGAGTGAAAGTTGGCAGGTATGGATTAAATGTTGGCAGGTATGCTCCTAGAGAAACTTAAAAGTTGCCAGAAAAAAATACTCCGAAGAATAACGCGAGGAATATGATTTATCCGAAATAAGAACGTACATCGCTATCTCAACATATAATTTTTAGATTATCTGTCATATTGCAAAGCTAAATTGCAAGTTTCTTGAAAAGACCATAAATTGTGACACCGCAGGATTTAATGAAATTTTTCCTTTTGAAAACTTGAGAGAAGACATAAACCTCAAGCCAATGGCAGCTTATTTTTGTAGCGGCGCAACTTTATCTAAAATACTAAATATTTAATTTTCTTTTCACTTCAATTTGCATTCCAGCTACCAGAAAAAGCCACCCAAAAGCTAAAATTTCAAGATGGATGGGAAAGGGGCCATTAACGGCCCCTGGCGCACAGATAAGTTTCGATGATGACGTTGACAAATGAACCGTGTTGAGTCTTTTCAAATGTTTTTCAAATCAAGCGAAAATCTGCAAATTTTAGTTTGTAGTTCTTCACTGTTTTTTTTTAAAAATACTTTGCAGAATCCGGAGCGGTTGACATTTATGTACATAATTAACACTTACGCCAGAAAAATTTACATTTAACTCTTTTTTAAACCACTTTACAGAAAATTTATTTTCTTCTGAAGTTATTCTTATGGTATTCAATTTAATTCAATCAACATTCAAATATGCAACATGGGTGATAAAAATGGAGATAATTATTAAATAGGACATTATTAAAGAGGATATTATTAAATAGAATATTATTAAACAGAATATACATAAATGCCTTACATTTTGCACAACAGACGTTATTGCGAGATGGAATTTTAAAATACTTTAACATGATATATTTCAATGCATGTATAAAATGTAATAAAGAATATGAAAAACTTCTTTCGACATTCCATAAAATATAATATTTCGATTGTTAGAAAATACATATAAAAGTATTTATTAAAAAAAAACAAAATTTCATAAGACAAACTTACCTCTGAAACAATTCTCAAATGAAGAACAAAAACTAATGAATCGCAAATTTACAAACTTAACAACAAAGAAAACAAAATCACAAAGCCTCTTAATCTGCCAGGTACTAGAGGACTAGTCCAGCAACCACAACGAATAAAGCAAAGAAGCAGTGGTGGAATTCCCTTCTGGAGGAGAAATCCAGAAGAATTCGCTGCCCTTTTTGGGGAAAAATCCTGCTACAGAAAACAGGAGCTTGCGCGTCGTTTGCGGGCTTTTCTGGATGAGGAAAATGCCGGAGTGTGACCGGGATAGGGGTGTGGGTGGAATGACGTCACTGGAATCCATCGATCCAAACCCATACTCTCTATGCCACCTGGTGTAATAGCCCCGCTACACTTGTCGCTTGCAAAAATATAAACCTGCTGTTGCTTCTGGTAAGGCTCCTATGGACTAGGGGTGTGTTAACTTTGCAACAGGAATAAACAACTCTGCGGTGAACATGAACAGGAAATGCGTGACTTCCATACCGGAAAAGGTTTCCTGTGTTGAAATAACGAACAGAAAACCCTTGAGAACAAACAAAATATTTCCATATGTTCCGACCTGCGTGTTTGTGATTAGATTGTAACTTAATTAACATGCCCTTCGCAATTTTTCTGTTTATATAAGGTGTACTCAAAATTTTAAAATATTTGAAGGGGTGATTGCCCTAGTATGGACATGGAGCTAATCTGGAGAGCTGGGTATATTTCTGCAAAGCCCTATTCGCTGTTGTTCACCAACCTCATGATACTTTCACAATTATTTTTGTCTTCTGACTCAAATTAGATTTTTTTTAAAATTAAAGTTATTCAATTAAGATGTATGTATTGAAAAAGAATTCTGTTTACTCCTGCTCATGATTCTTACTTCTCTCGTCCAAACATTTATTTTAAGATACTTTTAAGATCTATTTATGAACATAAAATCATTTTTCTTATTAATCATTTTAATAAGAAAAAACGTTTACAATTAAAACTTTCGTTATATAATCTTGTCATCTTAAGCAACTTCATTTAGAATTTCACTTTTTAAATTTGTTTAATTTTTTTACTTCTATGCAGAGATTTCTATGCAATATATGCGAAATGTTATTTTTCAATAATGCTTTACTATTTCGTATTCATTATGTCAGAGCACTTATTAAGCAGACTCAGCTTATAATTTTAAAAAAACGCAGCTTATTTTTTCAATAATTGTAAAACAGTTAATTAGCTTAATCTTAAGTTTTTAGCCTTAAATTTATATTGATAATCAAAATCAAAAATGAAATTTAAATTCAAAATATACTAAAATAATATATTTCTAAAGCAATATGCATCTAGCAAAATTTATTCAGCATATGTTACAGATCGCATACCTGCCAACTTTAAATCCCTTCCATTATCATTTTTCCCAGTGGTATTAAAATGGAATTAAAACTTCAATTTTAAGCAAACAAATACGTTGTATTTGAGAAAACTTAAGTTAACAACCATGATAGTAACGCATATTAATATATGTGCTTAATTTTTGTAAGAATAGTGGTGATCAAAATCATCTAAAAATTAAGTTTATAAAAGGAAAAATAGTACATACTTACTACCACTTTAAATATGAAAATAAAATCTTTCGGAAAATCCGGAAGAGTTGGCAGGTATGATACCAGTATGTCACTTCACCTTGAACGTTCTGTCTAAGGTCACACTTTCTTATGTTCAGCCTGATTAAAATTTTTATTCGAAATCTGTTGTTTCTTAAAGGTTTAAATAAGGAATATACATAGGAAAAGAATACTAGCTTTCGTGGGCATGATATGGCCAGTCTCCCAAGTTGTGGTGCGGTCCCTGTGTATAAAGGAAAAAACAATATTTAGGGGCAATATTAGCATAAACGGGTTTCCACCCTCCTCCCCTCCCAACCACTACTGGGGTTGGGAGAAGAAGAAAAGTATTCTATAGTCTGTCTACGGTAAGAACTGTCTACGGCAGCGATTCTCAACCACTGTGCCGCGGAACTTTTGTGTGCCGCCAAATTCGTAAAATGTGCCGCCAAATATTAGAAATGATACNTAAAAATTTTAGTCAGGCTGAACATAAGAAAGTGTGACCTTAGACAGAACATTCTAGGTGAAGCGATATACTTTAGCTCTTCGTCGTTTAAAGAATAGTGGCAGCTAAACGCTTAAATGCAACTAGTTATCTGTATATATATATATATATATATATATACAGATAACTAGTTGCATTTAAGCGTTTAGCTGCCACTATTCTTTAAACGACGAAGAGCTAAAGTATATCGCTTCACCTAGAATGTTCTGTCTAAGGTCACACTTTCTTATGTTCAGCCTGACTAAAATTTTTATTCGAAATCTGTTGTTTCGGAAAGGTTTAACCAAAGAATATACACAGGAAAAGAATACTAGCATTCGTGGTCATGATATGGCCAGTCCCCAAAGTTGTGGTGTGGTCCCTGTGTATAAAGGAAAGAACAATATTTAGGGCACTATTAGCAGAAACGGGTTTCCACCCTCCTCCCCTACCAACCACTACTGGGGTTGGGAGAAGAAGAAAAGTTTTCTATAGTCTGTCTACGGTAAGAACTCCCTCCGCCACAAAGTCTGAGGCCGTCTGCTGCTATGGAAACAAGAATAGCGCATTTCAGGAAGGGTAGTTTCTCTTCACTCTAAGACAAAAACAGTAGACCGAAGAAAAAGATTCCCTTTCCAGAGCTAAAACCTGTCCTAGACAATGATCCCACATCCCTACTTTAAATAGTTATACCTCGTTAACATAATCACCGCCACGGGTCCAGACGAGTGACTAGGAGAGTTCTTACTTTAGACAAATTATACTTTTATTTATTATTTGGTTGTTCTGCATTTTTACACTATTAATAAACGGCAAAAAACTGTTAGTAAAGATATTCTTTTGAGAATACATTAATATCATCCATGTTGATTAAATCTGCTAACACATTTTAACAAAGAAAGAAGGTATAAAATGGTGGTGCGAGTGTACCCGACGTACCCAACCATGCATGTAGAGTTACCCAAAATCCGATTTACTGGTGACGTACCTCCTAACAATCACTTTGTTTCTTATGCGCATGCGCTGGATCTTATTACATATGATGCTCTGTTAAGTCTGAATACGTTAATTTAATTATTCTTATTCTTATTAAGTTTTCATAGGTTTTGAGCTGCGCAATTTTATCGAAATGAAACAATTGTTGTGATGCGTAAACTTCAATTAAATGGGGATGAGTTATGAACCAGTTGTCCCAAAAAGACGGATGATTCTAAAAATTATAAAAGCAAAAATGGTAGGAATAGAAACACACCTCACGCTACATGCTACTTAAGTAACCAGCTAATTTATTAAAACCACGATTTAAAATAAGTTCTAATGTCTGTCAACAGATGTCGCGCTCACTGAGAAAGCTGCAAAGCAATGTCTTCAAAATAACCATCATTTCCTGATACGACGCGGTGCAGACTCAGGATAAAATTAATATATAGTGGTGTCAATATTTCTGTTGAAACAATTTGACATGCCAATAGAAGCAAAAGCTATATAATATTCTTGGTAATTTTGAAACTTCTTGAAAATTAATTCACTAGTTTCTTACGCAAAACGTAGGAAAACTTAAATTCGTAAGTTGTTCCGTTTGTTTTTCAGGCGACCGTTATCGTTACTAGGGGTTGATCAAAATAATGAAATTCTATACTAACTCAGTTAAAACACTCAGTTTTTTTAGCAGCAAATGTTTCTGAATATTTTACATGGCATAATTGTTGGCACCATTTAAAAGATCATGATTAAAGCTTTCAGAAATGGTATCTTTTTTACCATGTGAAATTTACATGGAACAAAATGAACACACGAAGTTAAAAGGTGATTTCGTTTTTCAATATCATCATAATTAGAAAGCATTTTTAAATGAATATTGCTATCCGATAGATTGATTTCAAAATTGCAGATACTTAACCTAAGAAAAAGTTAGAAACTTCCAACTCTCATTTTGTTCGATCCAAACTTCTTACATTTCTTAAAGCTTCGAACATAATCTTTCAAATTGCGCCAACAATTTTGCTATGCAAATTCTTTCAAAACATTTGTCTCGAAAAGAAAAATTGTTTACATAGAGTTAATATAGAAGTGTTTCCATTATTATGATCAATCCCTGTGCATTAAGATTCATTTCTTAACCGTTTACTTGCCGAAATCGTGTTTTGCAAAAATGGAAAGAGTGCCTTTAAGAAAAAAGTATTAGCAGGTTAGCGTATAAATTGAATAGAAAAGTCTAAAAAATCTTTAAAAAATCAAAAATTCTAAAAAATATTAAATTTTTGTTTATAATATCATTTGAATAATCCTATAAAGCATCATGAAGGTGGGTCTCTCTGGAATCTTATAGGACACCAGAGATTGGAAACAGTTGCTTTAATCTATATATAATTAAATTAAATTAATTGTTCCGCTAAATAACAATCATCTATAGTTTAACGAGAGAGAAAATCATATATATTTGCAATTATGATTTCTTATGAAAGAAAAATAAGAAATTATAAATGCAAGTATTTCCTAAGATTAATTTTGAAATGTTTCAGATTTATCATTTCGCTTCAAATTAATTAAACTTTCTCTTTTTATTATTCATTCTTAATGCCTAGTTTGTAAACTGTCTAATGAATAATGCCTTTTCCACTGAAAAACTTCTAATCTCTTTCTCAACTTTTCATGCAAATTAATTCATACAGCTAATTAATTTCTCGACATAAGAATTAAAAAAAACATTCGAAACAAATTCTGCATACAACTTATTAATTAGAGTTAAAAATATATTTAACTTAGCATACTAAATTAAAGCGAAAGAGCTTGAGAAAGTATATGAAATGTACTAATGATATTTTCAGAAGTACTTTTAAACAGGGAGAAGAGCAAGAAGTATTAGCATAAATATAAATATGATTAACACAGATTCCAAATATTCTGTTCGATTTTATTTTCATATTTAAAGAAGTAGGAAAACGAAGCTTTTTTAATATTCTTAAATCTATAGATTTAAATTAGACAGATTTTAACTACCGCTACACAAGAATACATTTAATATAGTTATAACTGCACATTATTTATATGTAGGTGTATTTATATTCTACTTGAATATAAAAATAATTTTTGCCGACAATTTATTTTTAAATACTCATATAACTGCTATTCAGGAACTGAAGTCGGCAGGTAGAATCTATATAGAATTCTATAATATAATTGTTCTTGCGTTCACCTTTAATTTTAACATAATTAATCCATATGAATCTATACAAATAGAGCAGAATAATTAAATGTGAACCTGTCTTCTTTAAAGCGCTCTTCGATTATCGGTTAGTGAGCTATATTCCAAAGAAAAAGCCTTTCATAGGATTTGGTGAATATTTTATAATGTGAGTG